ATTCACCACTTCAGAACCTGCTAATACCTGCTAACATATTAATGCTATCAAGCGCACGTTTGAAGGCCTATCTGGAAGTGCTGAAATCTCGGCCATCAGTTAAAATTTCAGCCCATTTTTTGGCTATCAGTAAATTCTGCAGATCTGTGATCTCAGCTTTCTGTCTGAAAAAGCGACGTTTCGTGGCTAACAATTAAATTCCAATTCCCAGCCATCAGTTAAACCATATCCAGACCCTCAAGTTTGCGCTTGATTAGCTTTCATGTCTCTCTGGATTATTTGGATTATAATTCACAAAACCCCTTTAGATAGCGATAAAGCATCAAAACTGATTACGTAAACAAGAGATACCTTAGAATAGAGTTGATACACTCTTTGCAATAGCGATGCCCACACGTTGTCTGAACTGGTTCCTTTAACACACTGTTGCACTTGGTGCATAAGTGTTTGGGATCAGTCTTGTCTCTGTCAGCTTCTGCTAGTTGATAGCCCATCACTTTCCTACACAGATCAAAACGAAGTCCTTTCGTTAAACTTCAGTACTTCGAATGCAAATTTATAGCGGAGACGGACTGAAATTTCGTTATCGCGGTAATAATTCCTTTTTTAGCATTTCGGTGTTTCAGTCTACTGCGAGTACGGCAGTCGTATCAGCCGCAGTCCCCGACTTTTTAGTAACAGGAAGCGTGTGTTTCGTAGTGCATATAAATGTCTTTAAAAAGCCGATAACGGTGCATTCCCGGCCTCGCACCGGAAGTATTATTTGGATGGGCGGAAGGGGGTGAAAGGCCGGAAGCCGACTAGAACAGCACAGAACGAACGGGCAGTCTGATGTTGTTGTGGCCTTGTTTGGCTATAAGGATAGTTGTAAGAGTTGAGATGGCTATGGAGACACGCTACCCAAGTTTGGGGTACTGCGACGACTTATATTAATAACAACTCGACAGTATATTAGGTTCAACAAGGAGGTGATCGAGAGGTTTTGGCGCTTGAAAAGACACCATTTTCAACTGAGCCACCTTAGTTTAAGTGCTGGCCATGGTTATGAGATATCGCTGCAGCTGTCTCATTAGAACATGCCTAGCTATTTATCGACCACGAGTTTCTGTTTCAAATTAGTAGTAGTAACAATATTTTATTAGGAAGCTCCATCACTAAAAGTGGTTTACATAGAGGTCCTAGGTTTACATAGAGGTCCTAAAATGAACGACTGAGAAATGTGGGTGGAATCAGATTAAGCAATTTCGCCATAGTAATCAAGGCCAACATTACAAAATAACGTTGTTGTTTGAACTAAAAACGAAAGCCACTCCTAAATGTATTTAAGAAAGTCCCATCGACAGAAGTTTTGGTTTCTGACCCGATCGAGTTTTTAAATATTGAAAATTTTCCCTTTGTGCTTGGCTTCACATGCACGATACAGAGCACTTCCTCTGTACACATGCTAGATTAAGAACATTATTTGCCTTACAGGAAAGATTAAAGGGACAACGTCCGGTGGATTAGTGTTAAATTTTTTAACTACCCGGAAAAACTCCGATCGACAAGAGGCAGGAAGAAGACCGGAAACTTTGGCCCTATATTGCACGCGGAGTACGTAATTTCAGAATTTCAAATGATTTTAGTCGAGTCCTGTTGAATAACATAAACAAATCGTATGTACTGCAGGACAAAGCATTGTATCTCCTATCAGTCTACTGTTAATTTTCACTTCCGGCAGTGCTTCTGTCCGCCTCTGAGTTTGTAGGTAAACTGTGGCATTATTAGCGTTGTAGCGATGGCTAATTTCGAGCAGATGGCCAATTTAGAGGTTGCACTGCAATGTAATCATAGAGTATTCCATTTCATCAGTTGTGTTTCCACGCAGCTCAGAACATTCTAACAAACTAAATATGAATAGCGTATGCATGGAAAGGTAACATTTTACGATTGTTCAGTTTATGCACCGTAATCCGGCTTCCCATTAAATGCTGGCAAAATCGTTGAAACAGTGGTAAATTTTACAGATATTGGACTCCTATTTTGTATGAATTTAAGTGTGTTTTGCTCACCTCAAGTAATGGTGCGGCAGCACCTTGCACTTTCACAATCCTTTCGCTTTGTGCTTAGATAGTGGTGAAAGCGCCTACTAGTATAAAGCGTTTTCACATGACGTCACGGCAGCCATATTGGTGTTCCAAAACAATGAAACAGCAGCCATGTTGGCCACCAAACCAATCCTGTCGGAGTTCACCTCTTTTCTTATGTAAACACTTTCTTTCGTTCCAATAAATTTCCACGGCTGTTAGCCACGTGGGTGAAAACGATCTAAATTAGTTCATGCATGACCAAACTGTCATGGTGGGAATTTCCCTGTTTTATATTTAAACGCTCCCTGTGCAAAACACTTGTCTATTTTCAGCCATATGACTGATTGTTTTGGAAGCTACTGATTGTTTTGGAAGCTCACACCCCTACTATGTACGCTCATACTTAGGTCTAACGACTTTCTATTATCTCACAAAATCATGAAAACTTCGACAAAGTTCTCATGATTTTGTAAGATTATAGAAAGACCTAAGAATCTTCAAATTATATGACGTACATTCTGGGGATCTGAGCTTCCAAAACAATCAGTCATACGGCTGAAAATAGACAAGTGTTTTGCACAGGGAGCGTTTAAATATAAAACAGGGAAATNTTTCCACCAAAACCGCTCCAATTTGCTTCATCGACTGCTCGAGTTGCTTTTCTATTGGATTAACTGAGCCATTAGTTTTGTTTAGTGACGTAAGATGCAAGGTGTTGTTAACGAGCAAGGATAGCTCTTTTACGTGTTGCAGTATACAAGTCAAGTGTTCTGGCGTGCACTCCTTAAGGTGATTCACTCTTTCATCTAGAGCCATCGCCTAAAAATAAATTGATAGGAACAAATCAGATTCAATAGGTGAACATAAAGTGTCTTTAATTTGTATTACTTCGTTCTGAATTTTCCCGGGCTACTGCATTGTCGAGATATACTTCGCGAGTGTGCCTTTATGAAGAAGGGCTTTAAACAACCGCTAACCGTTTATCTCCCTTCCAAAGGGACGCCTTGTTTAAGTGAAACTGATCTACGAGAACGGATGATATAAAGAAGGCACGACCCATTCCGCCCGTGCTTAACACTTTCCGTAATCTCCCGGTTTCCTAGAGGAAAGGCAAAGTGGGCTCTACTGAGGGAATCATAATTTAGTGTCAACGGCATGCGCAAAACCAGGTCACTTTCCACGGGAGCTATAGCGTTTTTACCCTCTCCACTGAATCTAAGTACCGGATATGGTTCTCAGGAAAAAGAAATATATGGTGTTCAAAATAAGACTCGAATTTCTCTTACCTTAGTTTCTTTACATCCAACTGTCTTAAATGGACACAATGTTTTGATTTCTTCACAATCACCTACAGCTGGATCCAAGTGAGTAGATATCTGGGAAAGAAATAAACATCTGTCAAGTTTAAAAGATTACAAACTGCGTTGAGTATACAAATCGCCCAACGACTGCATTGTAGGGTTGCTTTGGTCAGTAATAACTAACAGCCAAGTAACTTTGTTGGAATACTAATTTGGGGTTCTACGGTTAAACGTCGGGAAAAATATTGATATATAATGAGGTTGTAGACCTAGTTAGACACAAATTTACATAACGTGCGACTTACTACCTAAAATGTATAACAAAATGCAAAACGGGCGGAATCGAATAAATCTTGGCCGTGGAGTACTCTTTCTCGTTTTTATGCTCACTGAACCTCTTAAGCACCATGGCCGGTAACGAGTTACAAAGCCGCACTGAAAACATATGGCTGCTTGTAATATGAAAGTCATTTACGAGTCGTCGTCGCTTACCTGACTCCGGGGAATATCTTGTTTCCCACATTCCGGACAGCGCTCTGGAAATTGAGGGCAATCAGTCTGGTGATGAGCCTGAAAATGCATATTACAAGACAATATGTGTTGGGTTTCTGTGTGTAAACACCCGTTAAATGTGCATTAATGGTATTAATAAACATGCAAAATCAAAAATAAGTAAGAGATCTTTGAGTGAAAAGGTCAGTGACGGATGGAAGCTTCATGAACATGCAGTTAAGTGCCTGGAAGTTGCATTGCCAGTAAAGACGACTTGTGAATACTAATGACTGACTTTACTATTTTTACTGCAGTTTGCTGTTGCAAAACTGTTCAGCGCGAAACTTTAAACTTCCTATACCCAACTGATAACCATAACCGCGTACTTCCCTTATCGTTTCAGCGATCTCAACGTGCATGTGCACTGAACACCGTTAAAAATGTAATAATTACTAAATAATTTACCGTCATATCAACGAACACGATCCTTTTTTCACAGTAAGTGCACAACTCTTCCCTGTAGCTGCAGCTGTTTTCAAGATGATTAGCCAGCTCGGATCTTTGCACCAAAATTCCACATTTGGGATGAACGCAATGGATTTCTCCAAATTCACAGACATTCTCGTGGTCCTGCAAAGTTAAAATAACACGAAACTACATCACCTCGTAACTACGGTTTTGCATGACTGTGCTTTTAAGTGTATATATAGGCATGGAATGGCAGTTGCTAAATGTAATCATCTCCTGAAAGATATATTATTTGCATGTCCTTTTCTAGTGGTTATTTCCTCTTGCCCCTTGCTCCCCGGATTACTGTACAGCTTGAACTATAGATATGACAACGTCGTTTCAGACAAAGTTATCCAGATTTGCTACTTGTGGTTACTGAGATAAACATGTGGTGCAAGCAAGGAATTAAAAGTTATCGAAAATACTGCCGAACAAATACCTGACGATGCTTTAACTTTCCTTTCCATTGGCAGCCTTTATCAAGACGAGAACAATGAAGTTCCAGTAAAAGGATCTCACGTTCAACAAATTTATCCGGGAAAACCTTGGCAAGCAGGAGGAAAATATAAGATCACAGAGGATTAGAAACTGCTCAGCGGTGGATCCAGAGGTACTCTATCTGAATAAAGGGGAAGTGAAGATGGGCCCTTTCTTGCAGAGAAGTGGTCATTTTCCCCCTTTTTTAAAACGATTTTGCGGGATTCCAATCCTTGTTGGTTGATAAATCTTTAAGGCATGTGTGTGGGAGGGGGATTGTAAGCCCCTGCCATCGCTGAAGTATTTGTAAAGATTGCAGCGACCGTTGGTTGGGATAAGGAAAATTTCGCTCAGAACAACGACAATTTTTTATATGTTGCGCGATTACAATTTCGCGAAACAGGACGGAAAAATCCCTACAAACAGACAACAAAAGGCTTATTGTCTTAAAAAATTTAAACCATAACAATAGGCAAAGTTTGATATGACGAATTTATACGCCCGTGAGTCTGAAAGATCTTACACAAACTAAATCATACACAATTGCAAATTGTCTATTGAGCTAATCACTGATTTCGCTATCCAATTTATGCACGTAGATTGCTATTATGAAGAACACAAGTAGATTATAAAGAACACTCATCAGCTTATATTAAGCACAACAATGACAACAGAACTGTTTACAATGTCGGGAGAAAGGATTTCATTATTAGCGCTAGAACTATCTTTCATATATGACATGCAACGGTGTATACAGATCGACTGGAGGACCACAACGTATATTTCACCATATGTTTACTTCAATCTGTCCACGGCCACTTGTAATAGACATTATAAAAATAATAACAAGTAGAGCACTTCACAGAGAGGAAGGCTAAGCATCAGAAAGTCTGACCATCTTTCCTTCACACCCACATCTTTACTTTCAGGGAGGAAAAAGAGAGATTTTGTTTTCTAATAACTTACTTCTTCTTTCGTGAGGATGGTTCCATCAGCAACGCATTCACTCTCTGATGGTTTCTGACTGCAACAAAACCAGATATACACATTAAAACTACGCTTATTGTCAGTCCCTGGAAAAAAGGGAAACTGTCATTAATATATTCCTCATGAGCCACAAAGGAGGAGCGTAGATGACTGTTTAAACTGTTTCAAAAATGTCAGTTGCATTCGTCTGCAAGCCTAAGGACTGCTACAACCACGGATCTGACTTGAATTGCAACATTTAGATAAGCATTTTCAAGGTAGTAAAATTTTAAAAGTTCTCTGACTATTTTTTTTTTTTTTCAAAAAAGCGCAAGCTTTTAACTGCCTTAACTGTAGTCTTCAACGGGTGAAAATGTTTTTAAACATTTTTAAGCTGTTAAGAACTGCCATTTAGGCAGTCGAAGGCTTGTTGTTTAAATTTCACTATGATTCATCCTGGCTGCGGTCCCTTGATATTTTCATTTTCACATTGAAGTACCTCTGTGATATGTTCTATTAAAAAGCATGATCATATTCTCACTTCTTGGCTGATGGGGGCTCCGTTCAGATCTAACAAATCGGGTTTTACCCATATGTTTTGCTTTTTTGGTGTTCTTATTCTTGAAAACCTGGGAATTAAGTATCTCACTGAACTCTTGAACATCTTGGAAGGCATCCATGTCATACTGTTCTGCTTTCTCATAGCTTCTGGATACATTCCAGATGAATTTTCATCGAGCAAGTTACCCCCATACTGTTCAGCGAGTACATAACAAGGGTTCTTACAGGCAATCAGATATAGAGAGTAAGACTTGGAAGGATTGGCTGTTATTCTGACGTTATATTTAAAAGTCGCTTGACAAAGGATGAATCTTGTACATGACGATGAATCTTGCTGCCAGAGTATAAATTATTGCCAAGAATGAAATTATTCACCACTTCAGAACCTGCTAATACCTGCTAACATATTAATGCTATCAAGCGCACGTTTGAAGGCCTATCTGGAAGTGCTGAAATCTCGGCCATCAGTTAAAATTTCAGCCCATTTTTTGGCTATCAGTAAATTCTGCAGATCTGTGATCTCAGCTTTCTGTCTGAAAAAGCGACGTTTCGTGGCTAACAATTAAATTCCAATTCCCAGCCATCAGTTAAACCATATCCAGACCCTCAAGTTTGCGCTTGATTAGCTTTCATGTCTCTCTGGATTATTTGGATTATAATTCACAAAACCCCTTTAGATAGCGATAAAGCATCAAAACTGATTACGTAAACAAGAGATACCTTAGAATAGAGTTGATACACTCTTTGCAATAGCGATGCCCACACGTTGTCTGAACTGGTTCCTTTAACACACTGTTGCACTTGGTGCATAAGTGTTTGGGATCAGTCTTGTCTCTGTCAGCTTCTGCTAGTTGATAGCCCATCACTTTCCTACACAGATCAAAACGAAGTCCTTTCGTTAAACTTCAGTACTTCGAATGCAAATTTATAGCGGAGACGGACTGAAATTTCGTTATCGCGGTAATAATTCCTTTTTTAGCATTTCGGTGTTTCAGTCTACTGCGAGTACGGCAGTCGTATCAGCCGCAGTCCCCGACTTTTTAGTAACAGGAAGCGTGTGTTTCGTAGTGCATATAAATGTCTTTAAAAAGCCGATAACGGTGCATTCCCGGCCTCGCACCGGAAGTATTATTTGGATGGGCGGAAGGGGGTGAAAGGCCGGAAGCCGACTAGAACAGCACAGAACGAACGGGCAGTCTGATGTTGTTGTGGCCTTGTTTGGCTATAAGGATAGTTGTAAGAGTTGAGATGGCTATGGAGACACGCTACCCAAGTTTGGGGTACTGCGACGACTTATATTAATAACAACTCGACAGTATATTAGGTTCAACAAGGAGGTGATCGAGAGGTTTTGGCGCTTGAAAAGACACCATTTTCAACTGAGCCACCTTAGTTTAAGTGCTGGCCATGGTTATGAGATATCGCTGCAGCTGTCTCATTAGAACATGCCTAGCTATTTATCGACCACGAGTTTCTGTTTCAAATTAGTAGTAGTAACAATATTTTATTAGGAAGCTCCATCACTAAAAGTGGTTTACATAGAGGTCCTAGGTTTACATAGAGGTCCTAAAATGAACGACTGAGAAATGTGGGTGGAATCAGATTAAGCAATTTCGCCATAGTAATCAAGGCCAACATTACAAAATAACGTTGTTGTTTGAACTAAAAACGAAAGCCACTCCTAAATGTATTTAAGAAAGTCCCATCGACAGAAGTTTTGGTTTCTGACCCGATCGAGTTTTTAAATATTGAAAATTTTCCCTTTGTGCTTGGCTTCACATGCACGATACAGAGCACTTCCTCTGTACACATGCTAGATTAAGAACATTATTTGCCTTACAGGAAAGATTAAAGGGACAACGTCCGGTGGATTAGTGTTAAATTTTTTAACTACCCGGAAAAACTCCGATCGACAAGAGGCAGGAAGAAGACCGGAAACTTTGGCCCTATATTGCACGCGGAGTACGTAATTTCAGAATTTCAAATGATTTTAGTCGAGTCCTGTTGAATAACATAAACAAATCGTATGTACTGCAGGACAAAGCATTGTATCTCCTATCAGTCTACTGTTAATTTTCACTTCCGGCAGTGCTTCTGTCCGCCTCTGAGTTTGTAGGTAAACTGTGGCATTATTAGCGTTGTAGCGATGGCTAATTTCGAGCAGATGGCCAATTTAGAGGTTGCACTGCAATGTAATCATAGAGTATTCCATTTCATCAGTTGTGTTTCCACGCAGCTCAGAACATTCTAACAAACTAAATATGAATAGCGTATGCATGGAAAGGTAACATTTTACGATTGTTCAGTTTATGCACCGTAATCCGGCTTCCCATTAAATGCTGGCAAAATCGTTGAAACAGTGGTAAATTTTACAGATATTGGACTCCTATTTTGTATGAATTTAAGTGTGTTTTGCTCACCTCAAGTAATGGTGCGGCAGCACCTTGCACTTTCACAATCCTTTCGCTTTGTGCTTAGATAGTGGTGAAAGCGCCTACTAGTATAAAGCGTTTTCACATGACGTCACGGCAGCCATATTGGTGTTCCAAAACAATGAAACAGCAGCCATGTTGGCCACCAAACCAATCCTGTCGGAGTTCACCTCTTTTCTTATGTAAACACTTTCTTTCGTTCCAATAAATTTCCACGGCTGTTAGCCACGTGGGTGAAAACGATCTAAATTAGTTCATGCATGACCAAACTGTCATGGTGGGAATTTCCCTGTTTTATATTTAAACGCTCCCTGTGCAAAACACTTGTCTATTTTCAGCCATATGACTGATTGTTTTGGAAGCTACTGATTGTTTTGGAAGCTCACACCCCTACTATGTACGCTCATACTTAGGTCTAACGACTTTCTATTATCTCACAAAATCATGAAAACTTCGACAAAGTTCTCATGATTTTGTAAGATTATAGAAAGACCTAAGAATCTTCAAATTATATGACGTACATTCTGGGGATCTGAGCTTCCAAAACAATCAGTCATACGGCTGAAAATAGACAAGTGTTTTGCACAGGGAGCGTTTAAATATAAAACAGGGAAATTCCCACCATGACAGTTGGTCATGCATGAACTAATTTAGATTGTTTTCACCCACGTGGCCAACAGCCATGCAAATTTATTGGAACGAAAGAAAGTGTGTACATAAGAAAAGAGTTGAACTCCGACAGGATTGGTTTGGTGGCCAACATGGCCGCTGTTTCATTGTTTTGGAACACCAATATGGCTGCCGTGACGTCATGTGAAAACGCTCTATACAAGTAGGCGCTTTCACCACTATCTAAGCACAAAGCAAAAGGATTGAAAGTGCAAGGTGCTGCCGTACCATTACTTGAGGTGAGCTAAACACACTTAAGTTCGCACAAAACAGGAGTCTGCTTTCCAATATGTATAAAATTTTCCACTGTTTCAACGATTTTGCCAACATTTAATGGGAAGCCGGATTACGGTACATAAACTGAACAATCGTGGAATGTCACCTTTCCATGCATACGCTATTCGTTTTTATTTTGTGTTTTTATTTTGTATTTTGACCCCAAAATGTACGCCATATACTTTGAAGATTCTTAGGTCTTTCTATAATCTTACAAAATTATGAAAACTTTGTCGAAGTTTTCATGACTTTGTGAGATAATAGAAAGTCGTTAGACCTAAGTATCTTCAAAGTATGAGCGTACATAGTGGGGGTCTGAGCTTCGAAACCAATCAGTCATACAGTCGAGTTCATGAAACTGTAAGTACCTTCTGTCCTACTTTTCTCTTATTTGATTGTGTCATATTTTAATATGGTAGAATCAGATAAAAGAAAAGTAGGACATGAACTGCTTACAGTTTAATAAAGTCGTCTGACAGCATGCCTTTCACTTCCGCTTCACGCCGGCGAACAAACAGTACAACAAAGTCGTTTGTCGCCCGTTAACTAGAATTCTTCCTTCAGTCGTTACCCGTTTCAGTCGTTACCCGTTTCAAAAATAACAATATGAAACTTGCTAGTATTCGTATTTGAGTCAATTATGAGTAACCTAGCCAAGCTTAGGCAAGATTTTGGAGGTATTGGCAAGGACAAATTAAGTACTAATTATGTAACTGAGACAGTAGTAAGCTTAGCCTACGTGAATGCTAGGCCTCCACATGAATATTTCCGATGAAATCGAAGTCGCGAAACGACGCCGGATTTAGAGATTGGAGTTTCTGCGAAGTATTTACCAGTGTTATCAGTAATGACTGAGAGGAACTCAAAGCGGAAAAAATAGCTTGAAGCAACGAAGCTAAAGGCCCATAATACTGAATGTTCGCTATTTTACAATGTAGTCGTCGAAGACTTCAGTGTTCGAATATATTTACGGACTAACTCAGTCTCATGTCTCATGTAGAATACCATAAGGTCATATTGGTATGTGGTAAATAATTAGTGATTCACCGTTGGCCCAACGTTTTATCACCTAGGTGAAAATAAATCAGAGGAAACTAACCAAGATAACGTTCCGATCTTGAACGTGGTTGTGTATTACACTGACTTTCGAAAAAGAACTCTGTGATTTTCAACTGCTGTTCCGCTTTGACTATTGCTTTGTCATGACTATACTATCGTTCCACTACAGTGAAATAAGAAACGAAACTGCGGAGAGAGGAAAGCAGCAAACTCAGATTGACTTAGATTGTTCTGTGTTTCGCCAAGCAAAGTAAACTTTGCCTCAATCTCTTAGGTTTTTCAGTAGTCGACAAGCCAAGAATCCTCTCTCGGCTTTTATCTCATCGAATTTTCAAAGTAGAGTGAAAGTGGCAGATATATTTCTTGTGACATTAATTTTCAGCATAGATAAAATGATGACTATAAAGTTTATGAAATTTGTAATGGATGATTTTATGAAATTTGTAATGGATGATTTTATGAAATTTGTAATGGATGATTTTATGAAATAAATTTGTAATCGGGATGACTAAAACAAGGGGACGACCTGTACAGCAAAGGACACCTGCCTTGCCAAACTTTCAAACTTAAGAACTGAGAACGGCTAGCAAACTTCAAAAAGCTAGTAGGTAACGATGAAAAGTACATATCCATACAAAAACGTATCACTTACTGTAGTTAGCCTCCGAAGGTAGATGGATTTCCGCGTGATTCTTCAGGCGTGAAAATGTGTCACGTTAATAGTCACTTACCTCAGTTTCACTGAAATAATTCGACAGTTTTGTTCTTTTCTTCCTCGATCGACCGATCGCCCACACGAAAAATATTTCATACAGACTCATCGCTTTTTATTGCTGTTTGAGAATGAATCAGAACAGTAAACCTCGAATGAAAAATCCTTTTACGGTACAGTCGGGATGATCCTGATGACCTGTACAAGTTTGCCCTATTTGGTTACTAGCAAGTCTCGTCTCATGCATAAAGCTATAACTAGTCAAACTGGAGTGAAACATCCGCAGGAAAATGAGTCCTGCCTTTAAAGGCTTGTTCCAATTCGTGATTGGGCAGCAAGGAAGCAGAACATGATTTGCTTGAGCCCAGCGTGTACCGTGGTTAGCACTGCCGGGGATGGTGCTGCTTTATAATCTGCATTTTGTTTTCGCAGCCTTACAAACGAAAGCTAATTTTCATGCGGCGAAGCTGTGACCTCATAAATTATTTTCCTGTCATGTTTGGATCCGCATTTTGCCAATCGCCATCAATTTTCAGACGCCCACTGAATTTTCCAAAAAGGTTCCTGAAAATAAGGCCGGACCTCGGAAAATTAGAATCAATGAAATCAAATTCACCGTCTTTTCGTTGAACTGAATTGTACAATTTAATTAAGAGCCGGCTTTGAACATGAAATTGGAGTCTAGATCAACGCGAACGTACAGATATCAAAACCGCGGCGGAGAGCTAATCTATCGCTTTCTAAAGGCCTGTTATATATATATATATATATATATATATATATATATATATATATATATATATATTGCTTTAAAATTTATCAAACCATCTAATTATAATGTAAAAGGTAAAATTCATTAAAAATAGATCCAATGATCATATGAGTCCACGGAAAGCTCAATACAGATATGCACTTTGCAATTTTACACGGAGTAAGAATTCTGTAAGATTTGCAACCCAGTGGGACCAACTGCTCTCATCATTTTATCCTGTGACATCGAAACGGCGGCCAGGGAACAGTGGAGCAATCTCGACTGAAGATAAGATTGTGTCGTGGCAATTACACGATTAGTAGCCGCCATTATCGGGACTGACCGCTTCCCTCGCTGTCAATGACAACAGAAGACACTTTTTACCGATAGCAATGTTTTAATAGCGTTTCTCATCTGCAGTTAAAAATCTGACAACGTAGTGCAGTTGCATTAATTACACCACGCAAGTTAAAAGCAATTTGTTGATACTGATACTAGTAGCTCTATCCGAAATGTTCTCTGGTTATCATGCCGGAAGGGTAATAACGCAGAAGAGAGAATTTTTCTCTTTCCTGTATGTTGTAGCTCAACAAATTTCGTCATGCATACAGTGATTCAAACGCCTTGAAAATAAACGCTGAAATGGCCAGTTCCCCCTATGAGACGTGCCTGTAGGGAATCATGGTAGTTGTATTCATCATCTTAGACTGGATAATCGTTTTGATGAAAGCAACTACCATGGTTACCTGCAGGCGCATCTCATAGGGGGAATGGGCCATTCGACAGCAAGCAGTCACTATACGTTTTCTTCATTTCTGTCACATATCCCTTGTTAATTCCTTAAAATCCGTCTTAGGCAGATGAATACTAGTACAGTTAATTAGAACTAAACAAAACTTGTCTCTGATTTTCAGTCATTTTCTATAAGCAACACTTTACAGAGGACCTACATAGACTAGTTTTAACACTACTTTTATCAAGCCCGCTTAGTATTGTTAAAGAAAAAACAAAAGGAAATGCGGTATCCCTGACAACCTGTCCGTGTCAGGTAAGTGTCTACCACAAGTGTGTTAACAGAGTTGACGGACCTAAATTTTCTCTTTAACAGTAACAGGCTGATCGTGCGAGTGTCAAGTTGGAGGCGAGCGAGAGTGGAACTACTCGTACTACATGTAAGCAAGCTAATTACCTACGTGCTCTAACTTTCGATAAACTAGATTCTGCATGAAGCAGGTAAAAAGTGTACTTTAAGCATTGGAAGTCAGTTACTGATTGCAACTGATTCAAACCACCCACCGCTATAATTTAAGAGTCCGAAAAATGTAACTCAACAGACAAGTATGTGACTGCTAAGTTGTGTTAATTTAACCTTGCGTATCGCGGATGTAAATATATCAAAGCGCCCGTTCTCTTCCGATTCTCATAGTTTACGTCTTCCATACTTCTCTGACCGCACTACTTGTTAGATGGCTTATTTTAAGAGAAGTTTGCTCTAAAAGTCCTTTGATCTCTTCGATAAACTACTGAAGTGATAATAAGAACAAGATAAATTTCGTGCTGGTCACTCTTGGGGCTTAAAATGAACACATTTTCTATCCTTAGGG